CTTGTTCCTAGTAGCTTCTTTGTTACTACTAGTAAGGCACTTGTTACATCTTGTTACTTGTAATTTGAGAAGGTCGAAAAGGGAACGTTTTTTTCCAAGCATCGGGACGAGATCGAGCGCAGCCTGGTTGAGGGAACTCGTTCCTTTGGCCGTTTTGTTGATCGACTTAGATCTGACCAGTTCTTTAGTTGCACATACAAGAAGGCTTGGTTAAGCACTCACAAGTACATTAACCTACTAGCGATGGCCTCCAATCTACTAGCGCTAAGTCGGCTAAGTCTATCAATCTCTGCAGGTTTAGAGTTCCAAAGTTCCAGCAACTCCCAAAGGAAACAACAAAACAACAACACAGGCACTCATCATTGTTCATTTGCTTTCTCGTCTCATAGCCATGGCCTGGCAGGCCCTCGCGTCACATGGAGTTCTTTGCTTTTTGTGCTTTGTTGCTTTTCTTTGCATCTACTAGCAATTGCCTCCAACCTGCTTTTGTTTTTTGCGTTGAGTGCGTTGCAATTGTATCGCAACGGGAATCAAAGTCATCCAGTCGCCAGGAGAAAGACATCTCGACTTGGAGCAAGAAGTCTTTGCCAGAGTACTTGTTTGCCTTGCAGGAGCTTAAATTGTTGAGCCCTTGCCGATGCACCAGCTTTGACATTGGTCGTTTCGTCCAGGAAGGGCCCTGTTTGCTCCTGACCCCATGGTCTCACATGGAGGCGCAGATGACTTTCAGAGCTGGAAGAAACTGTAAAGGGGGAAGACTTCGGAAAGACTTAAGACCTACAAACATCGCTACTAGGGTGGAGGCCATCGCTTACGCTCCTTAAAGCATCTTTCAAGGTACGCTTCTCTCACATCGAGGTTAGCGGGGAAGTGTGCCTTTGCGGCCGGAAGAGCGAGGCGGAACTCAGCTGGCGAAATCATTGAAAAGCCAGGACGACATTGAAACCATTGTCTTCTTCTTTCTATTTCTTTCTTCCTTTAAGCTTTTAAGACTATTTTCTTTCATTTTGATGTCTTTTCACAAAAGAAGACACTGTATTCTTTTTCTTCTAGTCTATTTCTTTCTCTGGTACTTTTCCAGTCCCTTTTCTTTTCTTTGTGTGCTATTTTATAAGAAAGCGCAACATCTGACTTACCGACGTGATTTTGAGTGGCACATGTGACACGCACATGGGGCAGAGGCACTTGCAGCACACTGGCTGTGCTGCAGTAGTTTCGAGAGCAACAGTGCAGTATACTTTGCAAACCGCTTGGGGCAACATGCATACTCTGTGCGCTCCATGCTTGCAGTGTCGTTTTCTCTTTGCAACCACAACTGGATACCTTTTTCGTTCGCAACGATGGCGTGATGGCGTCCACCAAGGCAGCTCCAGCAGTTCCTTTTCCGGCTAAAGGACACAATATGAACTGACGGAGGCACTTGTTTCTAATAGCTTCTTGCTACTAGTAGCGATGCACCTGTTACTACTAGCGATGCACCTGTTACTGGCTGTAGTGTGGGATCTGTGAGATTCTGTTGATCTGAGTTCAGTCTCTGTCTCCACCTGTCTGGTGACCAGATTTGTCCACATTCACTTCCTTCTCATTCTGGTCTCTGTTCCTCACCTATCCTGATCTCATCGCAAATTGCCTCCAATCTGGACTGGCTCTCGTACTTACATTACCCAAGTCCACTTTGGCGCGATCGCAGGCGTGGGAAGACGATGTTCGCTCCATCAAATAGCTGCGTGAATGCTGGTGCAACGCTGGCAACCAATAGATTCAATTGATGACCTTCTAGCCTCGTAAACTTCCAAGCCCTGCTCAAAAGGGTCATAAAGTCCTTCAGGAACCGTCTCCTTTTCAAGCCAAAGTTGGACTGCTGGATGACTGAAGTCATTCAAAAGGGTGAATGTTAAACATAAGAGGTAAAAGGGATACAATAGAACGCACCCTTCCAAGTTGTAGTAAAGGAGAAACATTTGAGGCAGAGTCAATCGAGCAATCAGCATCATTTGGTGTGGGCTGAAGGTGCTTCAGTTCGACTTGGACATTGGGGTGCAGCTGGACATTTTCAAGGCACAAGAAGCTACGTTCTGGGCTCCTGGCCCTACTACTAGGAGCAAGGACGCTACTAGGGGCTCCTGGCCTTACTACTAGGAACAAGAAGCTACTACCAACAAGGTGCATTTCTACTAGTAACTAGAAGCTACTAGGAGCAAAGGGCATTGCTACTAGGAGCAAGGACGCTACTAGGGGCTCTGGCATCGCACTCACTGCACGCTGCCGAAATCGTGTCTTCACAGGCTGTCCGCTTCTACCAGGCACCTGCTTCGACCTGCTTTTTGATATTCGAATGCTGATCAGTTCCTTCTGCTTTCTTGTGTTTCAATTCCTTTCAGTTCCTTTCAGTTCTAGTTTTGAACGATGTTCAACCAGGTGCTCTGTGGCCCAAACATGGTGTTCAATCTTCGTTCTTTCCATCTCTGCTTCGGAGGGCCCGAAGCGGGAAGAGCCGTTCTTTCGTGGAGTGCTTCGGATCTTCCACTTTGAGCCGAATAGCATTCCTGAGATCCAGGCGAAGTAGACGCGCCGAACGTGTCCACCACGTGAACTTCCAATGCACCGATGCATTGGATCAAAAGGAACAAGAGGACGCTGCGTTCGGGGCTCCTGGCATCGCTACTAGTAACAAGAAGCTACTAGGGGCTCCTGGCCATACTAGTAGTAACAAGAAGCTACTAGGAGCTACTAGGCATCGTCACTTCATTCCGAATGACTTTGATTTCCAGCAGCAACTGTTCATGTTCCAGGCAAGCTTTGATCGAGCAGATGCCATCATGGCTGAGGCACAGTGTGATTGGAACTCATAACTGCAAGACCTTGCTGTAGCTGGGAAAAAATGAGCAGGTAAAGCGGCAAACAAAACGACCTTGGTTCTCCTCTTTTGAGGCAGCCGAGGTGACCTGGTTTCTGCAAAAAGGCATGGGCAGCCGATTGCTGCTGGCCTCCTTGTCCAGGTGAGTTCCGAGCGTTCCAAAGTCGTGCTGCTTCAACTTGCTGGCAGTGACGACTAGTTCCTAAGTCCAGCCTAGTAGCAACGTCCCTATTTCTTAGAACAAGCGAAGGTTGCTGAAGTGCTTCAACAGAATTTCAGCTTCACATCTGTCCAGTTTCGTGCAATGTTTGGCATAAGTTGGAGATCAAACCAAGCAATGATCCTTGTCGTTCCTTTTGGAAGCCATCGGTGATCATATGTCGCACAACATCCGTGTCGAAGGAAGGAAATCGCGGTGCAAAGTCCTGTACCTCCACAATCCATTCGCCCTAGTAGTAACAAGTGCATCGCTAGTAGTAACAAGTGCCTTACTAGTAGTAACAAGAAGCTAGTAGAAACAATAAGCTAATAGCTTCTTGTTACTACTAGTAAGGCCATTCGCCCTAGTAGCTTCTTGTTCCTAGTAGCGTGGCACTTGTTACTACTAGTAAGGCACTTGTTCCTAGTAGCTTCTTGTTACTACTAGTAAGGCCATTCGCCCGAGTAGCTTCTTGTTGCTAGTAGCGTGGCACTTGTTACTACTAGTAAGGCCATTCGCCCTAGTAGCTTCTTGTTCCTAGTAGTAAGGCCAGGAGCCCCGTTCGTAGCGTCCGATCGCTCCTAGTAGCGATGCCAGGAGCCCCGAACGTGCGTCCTCTTGTTTTTAGTAGCCTCCACAATCCATTCACCTCCCCATCGCTTCTAGGTTGGTGGCCATCGTCACACCAATCCCAGCGGCACAGGAACAAGCATCTGCATCAAAACCGACGGGTCATGTCTCCAAAACGAGCATTTCGTTCCAAGATTTGCCCCAACAATCCAAAAGTGACTCTCATTGCAGTGCACGCATCACGCAGCCTGCAAGATAGCAGTTTCGCGATCCACCTGCAACAAAAACCTTGCAACCCACCCTACTAGCGATGGCCTCCAACCTACTAGTGATGGCCTCCAACCTGGTAGTGATGGTCTCCACCCTAATAGCGATGGCCTCGAACACCTGCCGCGACAATTTATTCCTAACACGTCCAACGCACGACTGTTCCACACCTAGCAAGAACTGTACCACACCACACCTTTGCATGATTTCGACCAGTTGCTTCACCCATAGAAAATTGCAATTTTTGCGTCGACAGAGCCGAGTTTTCGAGGCCCCTTCAGATCCATGAAACTCGCACAACCAAAGATCCCCGCATTACTAGTAGTAACAAAGAAGCTACTAGGAACAAGTGCCTTACGAGTAGTAACAGGTGCCTTACTAGTAGTAACAAAGAAGCTACTAGAAACAAGTGCCTTACTAGTAAGAATGCTTCTAGTAGCGATGCCAGGAGCCCCTAGTAGCGTCCTATCGCTCCTAGTAGCGATGCCAGGAGCCCCTAGTAGCTTTCTTGTTACTAAAAAGCTTCAAAGACATACCAAAAGTTTTCTTGTTGCTACAGGTGAAACGATTCCCAAGGAAGCTTCTGGTTACTAGAAAGCTTTATTACTAAGCCATACACACACACACACTGTGGACCTAACGAAATGCTGCGCGAGCAGTGCAAAATCATAAACAAGTGCATCGCTACTAGTAACAAAGTGCATTGCTACTAGGAGCAAGAAGCTACTAGTAACAAGTGCATCGCTTCTAGTAACAAGTGCCTTACTAGTAGTA